TCTAAGAGATACCCCTCCCCAACAGCTAGTGTTCTCATTGATACCAATGCAAAATGCAGAAAAATACAGATGTCGACAAGCTTAGAGCAAAATGAAAATAAGTAGGTCTTAGTAAGTTGGGAGTGACTACCAGAAGATTAAAAATAGAGTATCGGGGTCACCTGGGTGGCTCAGTCGTTAAGCGTCTGCCTTCGGCTCAGGTCATGATCCCGAGGTCCTGGGATCGAGCCCCACATCGGGCTCCCTGCTCTGCGGGAAGCCTGCTTCTCCCTGTCCCCCTCCCCCTGCTTGTGTTCCCTCTCTTGCTGTGTCTCTCTCTGCCAAATAAATAAATAAAATCTTTAAAATATATATATATAAAAAAATAAATGCAGGCAAGAGATGAAAAATGTGATCTATCCAATGAAAGGCAGGAGAAAATAAAACATTTTTAAAGCACGCCAAGGAGAAAATACAAACGAAGACATGAGAGGGAAGCGCCCACAGTGACAGTGAGCAGAGCGGGGGCCGCCGGACTCTGGCGGGGGGAGGAGGGGTAAGCGGGTACAGGGGTTGGTGCTGTCCTTCCCACCGAGGCCGCCCTGAAACAGGAGGGAGCAGGAAGGTGGGAAACGAAAGTCAGGGAAGTAGGAGCCAAGCACGAATGAGGCCCCAGGAAAACGAGGCACGGTTTGGGGAGGGGTGTAAAGCTGAGTCTAAAGATTGCTCGGAAAAACCCAATAAACGTGAAAGACCAGGAAGATGTGGAGAACGTTGCAGGCAAGGAGAGCTGAGGTCAGCCCGTTACCAGGGCCCGAGCCATGGTCAGGATTCCAGCATCCCAGCCCCGCCAGTGGGTGGCCACAGACGAGGGTGCCATTGTAGGTGGGCCCAGACACACAGGAAGACGCCCCAGAAGAGTCAGCCCTGCTGTGAAAACAGGGAATGTGAGTCACTCAGTGACTGTGGCTGGGACATTGGGGGTAACCAAAAAATAAGTTTGGTCCCTATTTTATTAACATGTACTGTGATAAATTCCAAGTGCATCATGGCATATAAAAACATGGAGCCACAACCGTATTAGAAGAAACCAAGGAAGAATCATCTCTAATCTTGGAGTGGAAAAGGCCTAAGTATGGCACAAAACCCAGGAAGGATTAAAAACAAGGACACTAATTATTTAACTACATAAAGGTTAAAAACACGTGTGACAAAAACCACCATAAGCAAAGTCAAAAACAAATGAGAAATCAATGAGATAGAAACCAAAAGAACAGTAGAACAGATCAACGAAACTAGGAGCTGGTTCTTTGAAAGAATTAATAAGATTGATAAACCTCTGGCCAGACTTATCAAAAAGAAAAGAAAAAGGACCCAAATAAATAAAATCAGGAATGAAAGAGGGGAGGAGATCACAACCAACACCAAAGAAATATAAACAATTATAAGAACATATTACGAGCAACTATATGCCAGCAAATTAGACAATCTGGAAGAAACGGATGCATTCCTAGAGATGTATCAACTACCAAAACTGAACCAGGAAGAAATAGAAAACCTGAACAGACCCATAAACAGCAAGGAAACTGAAGCAGTCATCAAAAATCTCCCAACAAACAAGATCCCAGGGCCAGATGCCTTTCTAGAGGAATTCTACCAAACATTTAAAGAAGAATTAATACCTATTCTTCTTCTTCTTTTTTTTTTTTTTGTTAAGATTTTATTTATTTGACAGAGAGAGAGCCAGCAAGAGAGGGAACACAAGCAGGGGGAGTGGGAGAGGGAGAAGCAGGCTGTCTGCTGAGCAGGGAGCCCGATGCGGGGCTCGATCCCAGGACCCTGGGATCATGTCCTGAGCCGAAGGCAGACGCTTAACGACTGAGCCACCCAGGCGCCCCAATACCTATTCTTCTGAACTTGTTTAAAAAAATAGAAATGGAAGGAAAACTTCCAAACTCTATGAGGCCAGCGTTACCTTGATCCTAAAACCAGACAAAGACCCCACCAAAAAGGAGAATTACAAACCAATATCCCTAATGAACATGGATACCAAAATTCTCACCAAAATACTAGCCAATAGGATCCAATGGTACATTAAAAGGATTATTCACCAAGCAGGATTTATTCCTGGGCTGCAAGGTTGGTTCAACAACCACAAATCAATGTGATACACTATGTAAATAAAAGGAAGGACAAGAACCATATGATCCTCTCAATAGATGCAGAAAAAGCATTTGACAAAGTACAGCATCCTTTCTTGTTAAAACTCTTCACAGAGGGCGCCTGGGTGGCTCAGTTGGTTAAGCGACTGCCTTTGGCTCAGGTCATGATCCTGGAGTCCCGGGATCGAGTCCCGCGTTGGGCTCCCTGCTCAGCGGGGAGTCTGCTTCTCCCTCTGACCCTCCCCCCTCTCATTCTCTCTCTCAAATAAATAAAATAAAAAATCTTTAAAAATAAAATAAAATAAAATAAAATAAAATAAAATAAAATAAAATAAAACTCTTCACAGAGAGGGGCGCCTGGGTGGCTCAGTCGTTGAGCATCTGCCTTCAGCTCGGATCATGATCCCAGGGTCCTGGGATCGAGCCCCGCGTCGGGCTCCCTGCTCCCGGGAAGACTGCTTCTCCCTCTCCCACTCCCCCTGCTTGTGTGCCCTCTCTCGCTGTCTCTCTCTCTGTCAAATAAATTAATAAAACTTAAAAAAAAAAAAGAAATGGACAGAAGACATTTCTCCAAAGAAGATATACAAAAGGCCAACAGACAAATCAAAACCTCAATGAGATACCACCTCACACCCGTCAGAATGGCTAAAATTAACAAGTCAGGGAACGACAGATGTTGGCGGGGATGCAGAGAAAGGGGAACCCTCCTACACTGTTGGTGGGAACGCAAGCTGGTGCAGCCACTCTGGAAAACAGTATGGAGGTTCTTCAAACAGTTGAAAATAGAGCTACCCTATGATCCAGTAATTGCACTCCCGGGTATTTACCCCAAAGATACAAATGTAGGGATCCGAAGGGGTACATGCACCCCAGTGTTTATAGCAGCAATGTCCACAACAGCCAAACTGTGGAAAGAGCCCAAATGTCCATAATCGATGAATGGATAAAGAAGATGTGGTATATATACACAATGGAATATTATGCAGCCATCAAAAAATGAAATCTTGCCATTTGCAATGATGTGGATAGAACTAGAAGGTATTATGCTGAGTGAAATAAGTCAATTAGAGAAAGACAATTATCATATGATTTCACTCACATGTGGAATTTAAGAAACAAAACAGAGGATCATAGAGGGAAAAAGGAAAAAATAAAACAAGATGAAATCAGGGAGACAAACCATAAGAGACTCTTAACTCTAAGAAACAAACTGAGGGTTACAGAGGGGAGGGGGGTGGGGGCATGGGGCAACTGGGTGACAGGCACTAAGGAGGGCACGTGATGTGATGAGCACTGGGTGTTATATGCAACGGATGAATCACTGACCTCTACTTCTGAAACTAATAATGTTAATATTATGTTATTTAAGTATATGTTAATTAATTAAATTTAAATTTTAAAATGTTTTAAAAAAACAAAAAAAAGTCAAATGAGGGGCGCCTGGGTGGCTCAGTTGTTAAGCGTCTGCCTTCGGCTCAGGTCATGGTCCCAGGGTCCTGGGATCGAGTCCTGCATCGGGCCCCCTGCTCGGCGGGGAGTGGGCTTCTCTGACTCCCTCTGCCTGCCACTTTCCCCTGCTTATGCTCTCTCTCTCTGTCAGATAAATAAATAAAATCCTAAAAAAAAAAAAGTCAAATCAGAACCTGGGGGGTGGGTGGGGGATGCACTGAGATCTGTAATTCATGTCTCAGAAAAGGCCTAATTTCTGTCATAAATGATGAGCTAATACAAATCAGTAAGACAAAGACAGCAAACTCCATGTACAAAGGGGGCAGAGAACTGAAGGTGACGAAGACGAAGTGAAGTGGGAAAGGCCCACCTCCCAGTGGGGTGGCTGTGGACCTGCCGGAGCCCAGCTGGACAATGGTCTTCCTGAACGAGAAATGCTTCTGCTTTCCGACAGAGCGACGCCCCGCCCTGCGGGCTGAAAGCTTGTGCACAAGGCCATTCACTTTAACATGACGTGTACGACAAAAGATTGGAAATAACCTAAAATGTCCACAGCAGGGACAAGGGTCACATCACATCGTTGGCACATCTACATAACAGAGCGCGACCTGCATGGGCTCCGCACGGGCTGCCCTCCCTTGGCCTTCTTGCTGCATCGGGGGGTCATGCAGCTCCCCCAGAGGTAGGCCCTCCAGATGGATTCTCCCGGACACCCGTGACGACCAGGCGGACAAGGGCAAGGGCAGGGTCGTGCTCGTGAGGCTGGGCAGCACAGAGAATGCCTGTGTCTCCCAGACTGACGCACCAGCTCCCTGGGAAGGGACCCCTGTGGGTGGCTCGTGCTGCACCCGGGCCCACGGAGATACAACCCCAAGCCTCTGCGCGGAAGCCTGCACAGGCGGAAAGACTGCAGTGTGTCTGTCTGCACATCAGCCTGACGGGGTCACCCAGCCCCGCCAGGCAGCGGCCGGGGACAGCACGTCTCACCTCTGTTCTGACCTCTGGCTGGACTTCCTCATGGATCAAGTTCTTCCTTCCTGCTTCTCTCTGAACTCCAGCAAGACCCTGAACGCAGGGTCCCCAATGGGAACCGAATTCCCCTCAAGCTATAAGGACAGCTCTGAGCCAGTAGGAGTCCCGTAACGGACCCCACGACAGTGACTGACCTGACCTTTGCTGCCCACCTGCATGCACCCATTGACCTCTGTCCCACATGGTCCTTATATAAACCTGGAAGTGTTTTCTGCACTTGGGAGGGTCTTCTGGAAACCAGTCCACTGGCTTCCCGGGAACGGCCTCCCTGAAATAAACTCCTTTCTTGTGTCACCGTCTCTCTGCCCGTGGATTCTGTCGGCGGCCACTGGCCAAGCCTGGCCTGTTTGGGACCCCAGAGCCCTGGCCCCAGCCTACCTGGTGCAGAGTCATCCTGGGAGGTGAGGCCAGAGGGGCTGGATCCCAGGTCCAGTAACTTCCACGTGTCCTGGAGGGGACCGCTGGCTGCTGATGAGGAGCTTCTGGTGTGGTGGCCATTTTCCCTGTGGGATTCTTGAGCTGGGCGTGGCTTTGGGGACCGGTTTTCTTTGTGCCGAGTTGATCTGCAAGTCACTGTAGAGATTTTGTGTTGCCTCTATGAAAGTAAAAAAAGACAGAATTATCCCTGAGAGCCCTGCTCTGCTGTCCCCAGAGAAAGTGACAAGGTGGTGGGCATGGCCCAAAGACAGGCCTTGGGGTGAGGCTTCAGGGGCTGTCTCGCAGAGGCCCTGGGGACAGGCCCATGCTCCCAGGCACACTGGCTGGCCAGTGCCTGAGCAGCTGGGGTTCCTATGGACACTGGAAGGACAAAGCAATGTGTAGGGCAAAGGCAGTCTGGTCTCCTTGGAAAGAAGGGTAAATGCCCCAAAACATGCCTCTCTGGCTGTGCCAAGGTCCACGCTGGAGCCCGTGTCTGCCCATGCCCCCAGTGCCCCAGGTGGACCCACCCTGTGAAGGCACAAGAGCAGACTCTGCCATCCCAAGAGAAGCGTCTGGTGCCGCCACGGCAACAGCCATTTGCTAGGACACCCGGCGCTCAGCTTCCCACAGTGGTGCGGTGTCCCCGGCACAGGTGGCCCTGCCCTACCTGCCCTGCCCCGGCCACTGCTCCTGCTGTCCAGCCCTGAGGAGGATCGTTTCTCCCCACTGTCTGGGCCGAGCGGGGTTGGACCTTGCCCGAGCATTCAGAGACACAATTTTTCTTGGTGTTCTTAGAGTCCTGCCGTGAAAACGCGAACAGAAGGAATTCAGTGTCGGTGGGTCACTGATGGGGTGTGTTACCCAGGTCTCCCTCCAGATGAGGAAGAAACGCTCTCCCCAAATTTCCAGTAGCAGGGACTCGCTCAAGTTGGTGGCAGGCCAGAAGGGAGGGGCATGGTCGTGTCCACCAGCCAGGATGAACAGTGTCCACCTGAGTGCACCTCCCGGCCTTCAGGAGACCAAGCACCCCACCATCACAGACCCCTTCTCAGCATCAGGGGAGGGAGCCCTGGGCCTGACCCCATGTGCCTCTCAGTTTGCTGGCAGGGCCCCCGCAGCCTGGACGGCCTTCCACCCTCCCCTCTGTGGGGACACCTGCCTGAGAGCAGTCACAGGGGAACAGTAAGGAGTCTTAAGAGGCACTGAACCGGAACATGGAAGAAAATGTAAGCATTACAAGCAGCTGGACTAGGGCAGAGCCTGAGCAGTGGGCCACTCACAGGGAGTGCCCAGCCACACCCACCAGCCTCTTCCAAGAGCCCCAGAGAACATTTACACCCACTGCACCGCTCTTCTCTGCTCTAGTTTAATTAATATTTGAATTCAACTGAGTAATGCATGCATATTTTTTTTATTTTAACTTAACAGCCCCCGGGGCAGCAGTGATGATAAATGGACTTTTCATGTTTGTTGACTGACTTACTGAGTTTCTTCCTCCAGGGTTTCTTTTCTTTTCTTTTTTTTTTTTTTTTTAAAGATTTACTGACTTGAGGGAGAGCAAGCAAGAATGGGAGGGGCAGAGGGACAGAGAGAGTCTCAAGCAGGCCCCACACTGAGTGGGGAGCCTGACGCAGAGCTCGATCCCAGGACCCTGAGGTCACGACCTGAGCCGTAATCAAGAGTCAGCCACTTAACCGACTGAGTCACCCAGGTGCCCTTCCTCCATAGTTTCTGATCATATCCTTTGCTTATTTATCTATTGGTTAAAAAGGCGGGCCTCATGGAGTCGTCTTTTCTCAAGTTTTAAGAAAGGAGGCATTTCACTGAATGTAACAAAGCCATGGTAGTTTTGTAGTTTGAAGGATATTAATAAAGTGTAATGCAATATTTACTGTACTAGAAAGAAGTGGAGGTCCAGGTCATAATATGCACGTTTTACTGTGACAGATAACAGGCACATTTATTTGACAACTTGGGAGATTTTCTTCTAATAACACATATTTAGAACTTTAATCAATGCAGGTGATTTGAAAGTTATGAATAGCTAGGTACTTCAATGCTTTAACAGCATTTCCCATAAGTGGTGAAGGTGTCGTGCAGGGGAGGGGGTCATGTAGGGGAGGGGGTCCTCCAGGAGAGGGGGTTGTGCAGGGGAGGGGGTTGTGCAGGAGAGGTGGTCCTCTAAGAGAGGGAGTCATGCAGGAGAGGGGATTGTGCAGCAGAGGGAGTCGTGCAGGGGAGGGGGTCTTCCAGGGGAGGGGGTTGTGCAGGGGACGGGGTCGTGCAGGGGAGGGGGTCATGCAGGAGAGGGGGTCGTGCAGGGGAGGGGGTCCTCCAGGGGAGGGGGTTGTGCAGGAGAGGCGGTCGTGCAGGGGAGGGGGTCGTGCCGGAGAGGGCGTCGTGCAGGGGAGGGGGTTGTGCAAGAGAAGGGGTCGTGCAGGGGAGGGGGTCCTTCCTCCAGGGGAGGGGGTCGTGCAGGGGAAGGGGTCCTTTGGTGGAAAATGCCACGGTCTTCAGCCCCCTTTCTGTGGCTGGCCCTGCCCCGTTTCTCAGGCCAGCGTCTCCTCGTTGGGCAGACCATTGTGCAGGCCTCTCCCACAGATCCACTCCAGGTGCCCTGGTGCTCTCCCCACTGTCCCCTGCCGTCCCTGCCATTTGCCAAGGGCTTGTGTTGAGGCTGAGCAGAAGCCCCACCAGCCCCATGAGGTGTGTGCCTGACGGACACGGTAGCAGGGCAGCTCAGGCATCGCCAGTCCCAGGCCGCCACTCACCTCCTCCCACCCAGCAGCCAGGCCTCAAACCTGGGCTCCTTCCCTCTCCCACAATCCAAATCCATCCCACAGCGAATCCTGGCTTCAGCTGTCTCCAGATGTGACGCTTCTCCTCGCTGGCCACCCACCCCTTACCTGGGCCCCCAGGTCAGCGCAGAGCCTGAGCACTGCTACCTCACTGGGGCCACCTTGGGGCTCATGTCACCCCTGGGGGAACAGGCCATCCATCTCCCAGCTGGTGCTCTCTTACTTTATTTTAAACAAATTGAAAAGGCAAGTCATACACTGGAGACTAACTTTGCAGAACACGGGCAGATAGGGATTGGTCTCAAGACTTGATAAAACTCCCACATCCTTCAAGGAAACTGAGTGTTAGTAAATGAGACACTAAACACAGGTGCAGAGAAACGGTGCCGAGACACGCGCTTGCTACTTTTCATCAGCTAATTACAGGCGGAAGCTTCTAGTCGTGTGGAAAGACTTGTGAAGAACAGAAATCTGAAGGCAGCACAGCGGAGGGCATGGCCTCCGTGGAAGGGCAGTGGCATCCTGCCACCCGGGACCCCGGTTGTGGTTGTCAGGAGTAGAGTCAGAAGTGCCAGCAGACAGAACTTAGCACCTGTTCTGGGTAAAAACTCAGTACGGCAGGAGGAGAAAGAACTTTAAACTGATGAAGGGTCTGTATGAGGTCGAACCATATGAAATTGCTGATATTTAACCACTTCTGACTTACAAAAATGGCAATTTTGTAGGATTCAACTTAACACCCAAGCCTACAGCAAACTTTCTAGTTGAAGATAAAATGCAAAAAGCATTTGGGGCACCCGAATGGCTCAGTCGGGGGAGTGTGTGACTCTTGATCTTGGGATTGTGAGTTTGAGCCCCACGGTGCATGTAGAGATTGCTTAAAAAAATAAAACCTTTACCAAAAAAAAAAAAAAAGAAAAAAAGCATTCTATAAATCAGGACAAAGGTGTGGATGACCCTGTTCTCTGTGGTGCATGGGAGTCCTGGCCAGGACAGCAGCACGAGACAGGACCGTGAGGGGAGGAGGCTGACCCTCACCACAGACGCTCGCCATTCGCATAGAGAACCTGGGAAAACAGCTGCCACACGTATTAGCATTAATCAGTTCTATGGAGTTGCTAGTTATAAAACATTTGATAAAAGCCAACTATGCTCCAATTGTCTGCAATAGCTAGAAAATGTAAGCTTAAAGAGATCCTCAAGATAAACAAACTGGTATAGTCATCAAACAGAATGCTGTCCAGCAATAAGAAGGGAGCTTTCAGACCACGGAAAGACGTGGAGGAAACGTAGATGCATGTTACTGGGAGCAAGGAGCCAATCTGGAAAAGGCTACATGGCCTGTGATTCCAACCCCGTGACATTCAGGGGAAACGGCAGAACGGTGAGGCAGTAAGAAGATCAGTTGGTACCAAGGATAGAACTGGAAACGGGAAAGGATGAACGGAGCACAGAGGAATTTCAGGACAGTGAAACTGCTCTGCATGAGACACGAGGGTGGACAAGCGTCATCATACATTTGTGCAAACCCGTAGAACACACAGCAGTGAGAGCGAGCCCTAACGTACGCCCCGGGCCCTGGGGGATGATCCTGGGTCCGTGCGGGCTCCTCAGTGTGACAGACACACCATCTGGTGGGACACGCTGATATGTGTGCACAAGAGACTTTCATAACAACGTTTACAGCAAAAAACAGCCAAAATGCCCACTGAGAAAAGAATGGACGAGCCAATGTTGATGTATTTATACAATGGAAAGAATATGCACAAACTAGTGTCTAGACCTGGGCTTGGCAAGCCACACCTGGCAGAGGCCAAATCCTGCCCACCTTCTTTTGTCCAGCCCATGAGCTAAAAATAGTTTTTACGTTTTTAAATAGTTGAAAAAAATCAAAAGAAGAATGTTTCATGACATGAAGTCTATATGAAATTGACCTTTCTGAGCTATCGGGTTTTCCTGGAGCACATCCGGGCCCATCTGCTCACGTACCACCTGTGGCACGGTCAGGCTCCTTGCAGAGCTCAGCTGCCACAGGGAACGGGGGGCCCTAAAGCTGTGGCCTGACGTAGCTGCTCTCCATATATCGCATCGATATATCCCAGAAGCACAATGTGGAATGAAAGCGCTCTGCAGAAAGATATATACACAAGCGGATGTGATTTATACAGATTGTTAAATATCTGAGAAGAGAAACACCAGACTCAGGAAAGTCTGAAGGGGGGATGTAGGGGTAGAACTCTCAAAGGGGTTTTGACTTTATAACATTTTGTTTATTAAGTTGGATGGTGTATATCATATTAGTCTTTGTATCTTCTTAGAAGTCTAAAAATTATAATAAAAATACATAAATTACAATATTCTGCTAAAGATCAGATGGGACGAACAACTAAGAAAATTTTGTAAAGGAAGATAAACAAGAGGAACCTTGTTCTATGTATTTGTAATATATTAAAAATATTACAAAGGTATGTTTTTTTAAGGATTTTATTTATTTATTTGAGAGAGAGGGAGAGAGAGAGACCATGAGCAAGGGGAGGGGCAGAGGGAGAAGGAGAGAGAGTCCTAAGCAGACTCCTTGCTTGATCCCACAACCTGAGATCACGACCTGAACAAAAACCATGAATCAGCTGCTTAAACGACTGAGCCCCCCAGGTGCCCTGCAAAGGTATGGTATGTATGTATGTATGTATGTATGTATGTATGTATGTATGTATGTATTTATTTATTTATTATTTATTTATTTATTTATTTATTTATTTATTCATGACAGACAGAGAGAGAGAGAGAGAGAGAGAGCAGAGGGAGAAGCAGGCTCCCAAGGAGCAGGGAGCCCGATGCGGGACTCGATCCCAGGACCCTGGGATCATGACCTGAGCCGAAGGCAGACGCTTAACCATCTGAGCCACCCAGGCGCCGCAAAGGTATGGTATTTAAAGCAGGACAGCACCAGCTGGGGAAAGGACCCTTCACTGGAGCCGTGTAGAAAATAAATACAGATCTAAATCTGAAAATGCAGAGATGCCACCCTGTGGTCTGCCAAACATGGGCCTGGCTCTTCCAAAATGTCAGCATTGTGAAGGACAAACAAGGTCAAGAAGACTCATTCTGGGGTGAAGGAGATGCCCCCACACACACCTATGCCCATGTATGCACGCACACGTGCATACCGCACATGCATATCCACACACAACTACACATGCGTATCCACACACACATAACCCCCCACGTGCATATCCACACAACCACACACGTGCATACCCACACACACACAACTCCCTGCGTGCGTATCCACACACACAACCACACATGTGCGTATCCACACACAGAACCCCCC